CTTATTCCTTCATTTTTGCAAAACATACTTCAAATGTCATTTCATTTATGAAGCCCGTGGCTTTATAACTGAGACTGGCTTTATAATCGAATATACCACCATGGCTTTAAAGGTGCGGACAAGGGTAAGGGTAAGGGTGCCATGGCTGTTTCTACTCGTGACGAGGGTGTGCACAAACACTCTTCACCAGCGCGTTCCATGCTGGACGGTCCGCAGCAATCCGCTCCATGTACTGTAGCACGCAATAAACATGCAGACGTTCCCGAGATGCCACTCACACACGTCTCAGACTCCCAACAGCTATCACGTGACATGCTAGACCAACACCACGGAACCACAAGAGAAGCCACCAGTGCAACAGCATGCGCAGATCTGACAACCACACCGGCGGAGCCCACAGCGGAAGAGGCTGGCCTGCTGGCAAACCTGGGCACAGCCTGCTTGGGATGGGGTGTTGATTAGCCATGCGGTACACATGGCTTTTTTGAAGACCAGGGTGAAGTGAATAGTGCATATAAGTGTATGTGCACGCACGCACACACACACACACACACACACACACACACACGCGCGCGCACGCACACACGCACATACACATACACACAACAGTCACATAAACACATAAACTCAAACACACAAACATGCACGCATGCACGCACACAAGGACGCAAACATTCACACCGTCCCCACAATTTTTTGAGTCGTGCAACTCCGGCAAGGAGCTACCAAAGCAGCCTTGAGACGCGTTGACAGTGCATTGAATACACACAACCCCCGTTAAGGACACAAGAATGCACATAAGCGTGCTCAGGACACAGGAATACACATGACCGTGCCATCAAGTCAAATATCTTTACAACTTACCACCGGAACCGCCGAATACAAACAGTTCTCCATCCACAAAGCAAGCTAAGAAAGAGAACACAAGAGACATGGAGTGAATCACATAGCTGTAAGCTCATAATATTAAGGGTTTGCATCCTGGACGTATAAGTAAGAAATGTTACAGTTAGGTGATGCTGGTGTTACAAGGCTCAGCTGGGCAACGCTACGTTATGGCAGTTGTCTGATGAAGAAAAGGTTTTGTTAAGGGTTAACCGAGATTTAGTACTTGCCGTACGAACTCTACGGCCGATATAGGAAGTTCCCAACCCCAGCTAACCAGTCTGCCTTCAAGGTTCAGCGTAACAGAGTAAGCAACTTATCTCGATCTCTTCACCACGACTATATACAGGCAAGCATGGCGTCAGGTAACCTTAATATGTACCAGCTTGTTCGTTCCCAGCGAAATCGTCAACAGGATTGTGGCATTCCTCGCCTCATTGATGAAGACGGTCATCCAGTTTCTGGCAGTTTCGACAAAGCAACGGTCCTAAACCAGTACTTCGCCTCCGTTGCTGTGCCGGATGATCCGTCGATATCACTTCCAGCTCTTGGTGCCCACAGCCAACTTCCTGAAACATTTGTTCAGGTCCTCACCACAACTGCGGATGTTAGAAAGGCTACCGCCCGACTAAAGTCTCGCCACAGTCCTGGCTTGGACACCATTACGAATGATGTCCTGAAGAAACTTGCCCCCTCGATATTGTACCCCCTCTGCGGTATATTCAATGTGCCCTTCTCGACGGGTAAATTTCCAGCAGCATGGAAACTCGCGAAAGTTGTTCCAGTTTCCAAGAGCAAAGGCTCCAAGTCACAAGCCAGCAATTACCGTCCTACCTCCCTATTGTCCTGTATATCCATCCAAGTCACAAGCCAGCAACTACCGTCCTACCTCCCTATTGTCCAGCAATTACCGTCCTACCTCCCTATTGTCCTGTATATCCAAGTTATGCGAGCGATTATTTTTTGAAAAGCGTTATGCTCATGTGTCACCGGCCCTTGCCCCAGTACAATCTGGTTTTCGACGAGGAGACTCAATCACCATGCAGCTGACACGCCTTGTACAGGACGTTGTGGCCCTACGTCATGACCAGCAGAATGTTGGCATGTGTTTTTTCGACCTTGCAAAAGGCGTTTGACATGGTATGGTTCCGTGGACTCCTAGCTAAACTATCTGCAATGTACAAGGTTTCCGGAGCGTCTCTGGCGTGGATCACGGACTACCTAACAGATAGAACTCAAGCAGTGTCAGTCGAAGGGGTACTGTCAGACCCACGACCTGTGAAGTCGGGAGTCCCTCAGTGATCTATACTGGGGCCTCTGCTGTTCTTGTTGTACATCAACGATCTACCTGACTGTATAGATTGTTTGCCATTATTTGCTGATGACACAAGCCCTCATTCAGTTTGACTCTGACATTGTAAACTTGTGTACGAAGCTTCAGCATGGAATCAATGTTGTCTTGGCACCTGAGACCCAATATCTTGAAGACGGAAATACTCTTTCTCCCTCAACTAGACCACCTTCCCACATTTACCCTTACCAGACTTGGTTCGGCTATTAATATTGTAGCACGCACAGGCATTTGGGTGTTGTATTTGACTTGCAATTGTCCTGGAATTCTCACGTAGGTTGTGTATGCAACACAGTCAGCAAATCTATAGGTTGTCTGGTGTCTCGCTGCTTCCAGTTGTCCCCCGAATGTATTCATCTCTTTTGTAAGTGTTGCCTTCTTCCTATCTTTCTCTACGGTGCCACTGTTTGGCATTCCCTGCTTAGTAAATCTGCTGTACAGACACTAGAAATACATCATAAACATGTGAGTTATTTTTCGTAAACCCTCTCTATTCCCCTCTATTCGAACAAGCGGCGGGGTGACCAAAGTTTAAAGGGGAAGCTAAGGCTAAAATCCAAATTTCACCAGCTGTAGTCTTCGGGGTGCTGAGTCGAATGGTCTTGGTCCGAGGAAGCTGAGACGCTCCCTTCCTACTTTAATCCCAATCGAACTCGCGCACTTCCACCGAAACTGGGTGACTGCGCCCTACTAGATGGGGCTTTGAATGCAAAATGTCACTAAAAGCGCCATTTCGTTCTTATAAAAACACGGATGACCACGATTGGCCCATATGTTGTAGTCTTTTGGACGCTGAGTCGACTGGTTTTGGTCCGGAAAGGCTGCGATGCAGCGTTCCTCCTTTATTCCCAATCGAACATGGTTGAACAAGCGGTCACATGCTCCTGCGTACACCAGTCACCTGGTCACCGTGCCTGCAGGGTACAACTTACTAGCCTGTTTGACCTTTTTTGGGTGCAGTCCTGTCACTCGAGTTGAACCTTGGTGTGAAAGTTGTCGCCTGCTGGCGCGGTGACCAGATGATTTGGGCCCCCAGGAGCACGTGACCACTTGTTCAACCTTGTTCGATTGGGAATAAAGGAGGAACGCTGCATCGCAGCCTTTTCGGACCAAAACCAGTCGACTCAGCGACCAAAAGACTACAACATATGGGCCAATCGCGGTCATCCGTGCTTTTATAAGAACGAAATGGCGCTTTTAGTGACATTTTGCATTCAAATCCCCATCTAGTAGGGCGCAGTCACCCAGTTTCGGTGGAAGTGCGCGAGTTCGATTGGGAAAAAAGAAGGAAGGGAGCGTCTCAGCTTCCTCAGACCAAGACCATTCGACTCTGCACCCTGAAGACTACAACTGGTGAAATTTTGATTTTAGCCTTAACTTCCCCTTTAAAGGGGAAGTATACCCTAAAATCAAAATTTCACCAGTTGTAGTGGGTGACTGCGCCCTACTAGATAGGGATTTGTATGGAAAAAGTCACTAAAAACGCCGTTTCGTTCTTATAAAAGCGTGGATGACCACGATTGGTCCATATGCTGTAGTCTTTTGGGCGCTGGGTCGACTGGTTTTGGTCCGAAAAGGCTGTGATGCAGCATTCGGCCCTTATACCCAATCGAACACGGTTGAGTAAGCGGTCACGTGCTCATTTACAGCCTGTTTGGGCCCGTTTATGTCACTCGAGTTGAACCTTTAACCCTTTGGAGCTCATCGTTCGAATTCGAACGATGCCAATGTCATGTGTGCAAGTGCACTCAACGAGTCACAACTCAGTCAAATCTCAACCGAATTCAACAATCGAAATACCTACGAGGTAGCAGAGAATCTAAGCTGTCGGCTCGAAAAACTCCGGGGTCGATACGAGCTAGTATAACAGAGCGGCGAGTGCTCGAAAGTTCGCTCGATTTCTCATGCGTCAGCGAAGTGCAAATTTCGTTCAAAAGTGGGATTTTCCCTGTTTCTGCCCACGCAGCGTGTGACATCACTCCCAGCGCTTTTTGTCACGGCTTTTGTGAGCCTGTTAGAAAAAATTTGAATGATTTTGAGCTAGCACGAGTGAAATGGCGAGACAAGGACTATTCCCGTTTTGGATTTGGTATTCAGCTGGCGTTCCTGGCATTCGGTAGCAGACAGCAATCGCTCTCCTGAATGAGTTTGGGCTCGCTGTTATCCTCGTTCCAAGAGCTTTCCAACGAGCCCAAGATCGTCAGAATCGGTGAAGTAGAACCAGCGTTATGATGGAAATTGGAACGAATATACTTGCAATTGCAGCTATCTCCTGACGTCGTGTGATCAGTGCAGTTCCAAAGGGTTAAACCAGGGAGTCGTAAAAGCCTCTTACGACTCGCTCCTTTGAACCTTTGAGTTAAATCTTGATGTGAAAATTTCACTCTGCAGGCACGGTGACCAGGCGACTGGTGTACGCATGAGCACGTGACCGCTCACTCAACCGTGTTCGATTGGGAATAAGGGCTGAACGCTGCATCGCAGCCTTTTCGGACCAAAACTCAGCGGCCACAAGACTACAACATATGGACCAATCGCGGTCATCCGTGCTTTTATAAGAACGAAACGGCGTTTTTAGTGACTTTTTCCATACAAATCCCTATCTAGTAGGGCGCAGTCACCCAGTTTCGGTGGAAGTGCGCGAGTTCGATTGGGAATAAAGGAGGAAGGGAGCGTCTCAGCGTCCTCGGACCAAGACCATTCGACTCAGCACCCCGAAGACTACAACTGGTGAAAATTTGATTTTAGGGTATACTTCCCCTTTAAGGATGGTAATAAACCGAACCAGCTGAAGGGTCATTTCACGAAGGCTTTATTGAGATGTCACGAACAAATTCTAGAGAAAGCGGTGATGGACAAATAAATAACTATGATGGAAATGTAATGCAATGCCTTGAAGAAGTGTTGGAGCTAGGTGTCAGGTCGCCGAATGTCTCAGTACTCCTTGTCAGTTTTGTGACATTTTGTCGCATTCGCTGACTGTACAAGATCTGCTTACGTTGGTGGACAGTTAGTCATAACTCGTAACATTTTGTCCTTCTTCTTTTTCACCATAATTTAATTGATCCACGATCACGATCTGTGATATTGATGGACTGTGGTGTCGGCTTTGGTGTCAATTCACCATCGACTACCGTCACCGCTGTTGTTATTGCTGATGCTGCAGCCACCAAAGAGTCTGTTAAACCAGCGCCGGATAACGGACTGGATTTGGTGGAGAAGGCCGGGGCAGCACAGGTAGTGGGTGCTTCCGTGGCCTGCCACGCCTAGGCTGGTCCTTGCGTGCTTCCTCTGGTAGAATGTAAAGTGGTGTGCGTTGTTTGATTCGTGCGCTCAGGTGCTGAACAGTTCTACCAACATACCGGCTAGCATAACGCCGGAATTCAAAGTTGTATATACAAAATGACTGAGTTGGTCTGTTGGTAGAACGTCCTTCAGCACCGTGAACGCACGCATCGTTGTGTGGACGGGTGTGAAGTGCACTGCAGAGTAGGTTTGTTTTACAACTAAGCGGACTTCACGGCACACATTGACAGACTCCTTTCCTTTTCACGGTAAACATAAAAATACCGGACATCGAGTAGGCCCGATCATCACTTCTTTAGATGTTGGAGTTGTTGACAGATACATGTGCAAAATACGGTCCGGGTAGCCATTCTTAGTAAAAACCAAGCGGAGAAACTGATGCTTAGCTGCATCGCTATCACATCCGTCAGTTTTTGTGCTAAATGTTGCACATTTTGACTCACCATTATCCTGCTTATAATCGTTAGTGTTGAACAAAACGGATAACTTGTAAACTTTTGGTTCTCTCTTTTTTTAAATTTTAATCCTCGGCTCTCCATCCGAGTATAAATACAAATACATGTTTGGAACCATGCACCTGCTCACGACCTGCTCACGACCTGCTCACGACCTGCTCACGACCAACTTGACCATTTCAAACAAAAAAATCGATCAATTGGCGGGGGATATCTAACAGCATCAGCAGCTTACCCCCTGACGATGCTGTTCTTTTGGGAACACAGTGATTTGCACAGGTGATCTTCTTCCAGGTGAGAAGAATCAAGTCATACACAAACACCTTGTGGCAAGAAGAAACAGAAAACAGGCAAAGCACACGCACACGCATGCATACAAACCCCAATAAAGCAAGAGTCAACGCCAAGTGAATGCGTGAGTACAACTGATAAACTGGAAGAGCAGAAAGAGACAAGAGACAGAGACAGTGACAGACAGAGAGAGATGGAGATAAATACAGTAGATAGAGAGATAGAGATAGAGATGAAGAGAGAGAGAGAGAGAGAGAGAGAGAGAGAGAGAGAGAGAGAGAGAGAGAGAGAGAGAGAGAGAGAGAGAGAGAGCACCTACGCCTGAGAAATTTTTGCCTTGGCCATTCGGAGTACAGAAATAGCCACCGAAGACGATCATAGATGTTCCATAGAGCATTGCACAGTGGCCACTGCGTGCACATGGGCTCATGCTTGATGCATCTATGCATACAGCCAGAAAGAGTGGAAAGCAGATAGAAAGCCAGGACAAGAAGGACTACCGTAAGCTACCCTAGATGAGCTGTCCCAATGACAAGCTACAGGAACTCCACTAACATTAGGGATGTACCGTGTAGTCACGTCTAAAAGCTGGGCGTATTCCTGCGGAAACCGATGTGAGGGCTAGACTTCTAGTCAAATCAAGCATCTATTCATAGCAGGTATTTCCTATGCATGTCAACACAAGGGTTGGGCTCCAGTATAGAAGCCTGGTAAAGGTAGTATATCTCCAACATAACACCTGTATTCAAAAAACGGGCTTCTACGCGAAATAAGCTTTGGCAGAAGACAGTACGGAAATTGAAATCCTTGCTGTGTCTGGTGTGATCAGTAGACCATATTTACAATGAAGGGGTGAAGATCTCACATGATCACATAATCCACTGCAATCGCACACACACACTGCAGCACACATGTTTCTAGTTTGGAGACACAGAGTGTCATGTACTGTCCTCAATACATGCCTCAGGGGTGCAGCTAGAACCGTGTACCCGGGTCACTGACCTGCTTGAGAGAAAAGGAGACCCAAATCGGGAAAGTTTGCTGGGCACAATGCGATGGTTAATTCTCGCCCAGAAACAGATAGCGGATAGTGCTTACATAAGTAAACATGCATGCATTCAGCCGATCATAACTTGGTCAGTTCTCGCCCAAAATCAACAACTAAAATCCCCTGTGAGATAGCGCACGTGTTTAGCTGCTGGCTCGAACTAAGAGCTCTCTACGGTGAAGATTGGGCAAACCATGATCAATCAGACCTCTGTCACTCTCAAGCTGGATGAATTACATCTATCTTCTGCACACACAGCCACACACAATACCTTCCTGTCTAAGCTCTTGCTGTGTGTGTGTGTGTGTGTGTATGTGTGTGTATGTGTGTGTGTGTGTGTGTGTGTGTGTGTGTGTGTGTGTGTGTGTATGTGTGTGCGCTGTGTGCTATCGCGCCAAGGCATGAAGCGTCACAAGTGCAGCCGTGGCTCGGCCAGAGCAACCAACACAGACCGTAACCCCTACTGCATCGTTTGCAATTGCGGTCGGCGTTTCAGTAGACCACAGGACCTATCCCGTCATCGCCCCTACTGTTCCGAACCTGCTCAACCCCCCCCCCCCCCCCCATGGGGTCCGCATAGCGAGAAAATGGCAGCGCGTCCAAGGTCCAAGGTGTGTGTGTATGTGTGTGTGTGTGTGTGTGTGTGTGTGTGTGTGTGTGTGTGTGTGTGTGTGTGTGTGTGTGTGCGTGTGTGTGTGTGTGTGTGTGTGTCAAGCTCACGCTGACTATGTTTCTTGTGGCACGCCATCATCTCGCAAAGGCCCTGAGATGAGATCTGCCCAGCGAGCTCTGGGAAAGGCTGTTTGGCTGGCAAAGGAAGTGTGGATCGGAGCAATTACGGATGAAGCTGACGCTGTGCAAAGGGACAGCTCGGTCCGCTGGAAATGTATCAAGAAGTTGCAGGGAATGGACAGTGGCCAGCAGTCAGTGGTAACATCCTGCGTCCGGGATGAGAATGGAAACTTGACAGACAGTCCACAGAGTTTGGGAGCATGTTGGCACCGCCACTTTGACCGTGTCCTTAATGTTGAGAGTGCGTTTGATACAGGAGTCATTGAATCCATGCCAGTGCTTGACATCAGGCAAAGTCTCGACGACCCGCCCTCCTTTGAGGAGGTGATAGCGGCGATCCGCAAGCTACACCCAGGCACTGCGGGTGGACAGTCTGGAATTGTCCCGGAAATGATTCTTGTTGGTGGCAAGGCATTGCATGAGCGCATCCACAATGTGATCAACGAGGTATGGACCTGCGGTTCTGCCGTGTCTGACTGGCAAAATGCAGAGATCATCCCTATCCCCAAGAAAGATGACTTATGGTACTACGATAACGCGTGGCATCAGCCTCCTGGATGTGGTCGGCAAGATCTTTGCTCACGTTCTTCCGGGTCGCCTCCAAGCAGTAGCGGAGGATGTTCTGCCGGATTCGCAGTGCTTATTCCGGAGGGGCCGTGGCTGCAGTGACATGGTATTCACCGCAAGACAACTGATGGAGAAGGCAGTGGAGCACGATTCTGAGCTATATGTGCTTTTCGTCAATCTGCGCAAGGCCTATGATTCGATTCCGCGGTCTGCTTTGTGGCTTGTGTTTCGCAGTCTGGGGATTCCTCCCAAGCTGCTTGGCCTTGTCCAGTTGCTCCTTAAAGAGATGGAGGTGCATGTTCGGCTCCCTAACGTCGTCACCGAAAACATTAACGTCCGGAATGGCTTGCGTCAGGGCTGCAAACTGGCACCTACACTCTTCATCCTATATTTCTCTGCTGTGGTCTCTTCGTGGCATCTCTAGTCTTCTGTTCCGGGTGTACGCGTCCGCTACCGCGTCGGCAGGAAGCTTGTTGTGGATCAGACCGCCAAGTCTCGGCTGCCCTCCACTGACATCACAGAATCCCAGTTTGCCGATGATGCAGCTCTCTACACCACCTCTTTGAGCCCCCTGGAGACGATGACAAACGAGTTTGTGTCCTGTGCTTCGAGTTGGGGTCTGGTGTGTGTGTGGTGTGTGTATGGTGGTGGTGGTGGTGTGTGTATGTGTGCCTCGCAAGCTGTTGAATGGTGCAATCCCAGCACAAGTGCTACAGCTTCTGCTGTAGCATCGCTATCATCGCTGGAGGCGATGGGTGTCAAATGGTGTATGCATGCATGCGCGCGCGTGCGTGTGTGTGTGGTGTGTGTGTGTGTGTGTGTGTGTGTGTGTGTGTGTGTGTGTGTGTGTGTGTGTCAGGACCTCACTCGCCACCCGAAGTTCTGTTCCGCGTGACTGAAACACTGTCGGTCCTTTGAGGACCTGCCATCATCTCCGGATGGGCATTATTGTATTGTGTGTGTGTGTGTGTGTGTGTGTGTGTGTGTGTGTGTGTGTGTGTGTGTGTAAGCAGATTTGTTAGCTCCTGGTTTTCTCTTTGTTGGCCTCCTCCACGGGGCGGCCCTGGCCTTCTGGTCAGGGTCGTCCCTGGGTATTGACTGGCAGTAGACTTTTCATGCCTTGCAGCCGGTTTCGCGCGCGTGCGCGCGGAAGGACATTCAGTGAGCTGACGACCATGGCGGGTAATTTGTTGCCGTCACCGTCTTCTTGCGTCCTTTCCGAATCCTCCGCAGTGGTGTGGCGAGCCCTCGGATCAACCCCCAGCCAAAAACAATGCAGTGGCGTTCGGCAGAGCAAGTGGACTCCTGGATGAGAAAGGAAACAGGTCAGACTCGCAGAAATTTCTTCCTGCGCGGTGTATCGCTGGAATCGTGAATTTGTCCTTGGCCGTGTTGTTTGGACCTGAGTGGCCAGTCGTCATGCGGCGATGGTGTAGTGTTATTAGCTTGCTGTGCACACTCCTCGTCGCTCGTCTTGTGGAGCCCTTGTGGGACATTCGGTGCCCACCCTCCAACTCAAGATTGTGTTTTCCTGATTCACGAAGGCCGAAGCAGCACGCGTACAGACGTTTGTTGAACAGAACATCATGTTCACATTTATTTTTTATATTGTTCCTTTTTCAGTCGTTGCATTTTATAGTGGACCTGCAGCAGACTGTTCATCTCGTTTGTGATTATTTCTTTCCTCTGTTGGTGAGTTCTTTTCCATCAATATGGCAGCTTGTTTTGATTTCCTTTTTTTCAATTCATTCTGCTGTACTTCCTGTTTTGTTTTGCGCCACTGCCCCTCACCTTGCGCTCAGTTCTCTGAGTGGAGGGCGGCGTGACCCCACTGGGGTAGCTGATTGATAGTATCACATCCTTTATTGCTGAACCCACAAATAATTGTGATACAGATTGTAAACCATTCGAGGAAGAAGAGAAAGCCATTAAAAAAAAAGAAAAAAGAAAAAAAAAGGTTATTGTACCATGCCAGACGGCTATTATTAAGTCATGTACCAATTGTAGTACATGACGTAGTAGTCACGCACCTACAAAATACTTTGCAGGATAATATTTAAATTGCCTAGCATGCCTACAAATCCGCAGAGCATGCCAATGTTAAATAGGCCAACATATGAATACCGAAGGCGGTTACATGGACAGAAGGCGACATCGGTCGAGAAAAGATGGGCCTATTCTCTTCCGCAAGTAAGACGCTCTGCAACCACGGAGGCACGTGATTGACCACCTCAGCAAAACAAATGCAATTTTGCAGCGTAGCTGTGCCATCACAACTGCGTACTGGAGGTCACTATGCTTGTTAACCACCAGCTGAACAATGTTCTTCAATGCACGAGAGCACTCCGTACCACATACGCCGTTTGTCGAAAATACGAGCGGAGTGAATGACCCCCTCTCGACATTGACAACACGCTGAAGATAGGCCTGCTTCTTCTGATGTTCATTCCGGGAAATCTGTGCAAGGACTTCCTGTCGCGACAGCAAAGACGCCGAGGGGTGAGTAACCCTCACATCAAAGAATGCATCTTGCTGTGGCGACCAAAAGGCCCTTGCACGGATATCCAATCGAGCGTGGCCAGCGACCAACAGCGAGGGAGCGTCTTGAATTCAAGTGCTGCAGTGCGTGCGGCGAGAGATATCGCAGACAGCAGGATCTGCAACGGCATGAGGCCGGATGTTCTGCCGCGACGCCGTGATGCTACCCCTATGTTCCCCTCCTCATGAGGGCAGCTTAGCCGTTTAACGGCAGCTGTATGTCAAGGTCACGGTCAAGGTGTGTGTGTATGTGTGTGTGTGTGTGTGTGTGTGTGTGTGTGTGTGTGTGTGTGTGTGTGTGTGTGTGTGTGTGTGTGTGAATTTGTCGTGTTGTTTGGACCTGAGTGGCCAGTCGTCGTGCGGCGATGGTGTAGTGATGTTAGCTTGCTGCGCATACTCCTCGTCGTTTCGTGAAAGTACGTCTTGTGGAGCCCTTGTGGGACGTTCGGTGCCCACCCTCCAGCTCAAGATTGTGCTTTCCTGGTGCATGAAGGCCGAAGCAGTACGCGTACAGACGTTATTGTTGAACAGAACATCATGTTCACATTAATTTTGTTCCTTTTTCAGTCGTTGCATGTTATACATAGTGGACCTACAGCAGACTGTTCATCTGGTTTGTGATATTTCCTTCCTCTGTTTGTGAGTCCCTTTCCATCAATATGGCAGCTTGTTTTGATTTCCTTTTTTCAATTCATTTTGCTGTACTTCCTGTTTTGTTTGCGCCACTGCCCCTCACCTTCCTCAGTTCTCTGAGTGGAGGGTGGCGTGACCCCAAGGGGTAGCTGATTGATAGTAGTAGTAGTAGTGTGTGTGTGTGTGTGTGTGTGTGTTGTGTGTGTGTGTGTGTGTGTGTGGTATGAGCATGACAGTGGGGGTTCGTGTACGTTATGCATGTACGATTGTATCAGAAAAAAAAACACTTATCACAAGTACAGGCATACAGGCAAGTCTTACCTTCAATGCACTTGAACAGCGAGAATAGATAGTTATCGCGCGGCTTCACCTTACCGTCCACAGCGGACGAGCGCGCCGAGCCCGTCCCATCAGAGCTGGCCATCAAAACTTGTATTAATTATTGGAATGGCAATAATTATTCTACATGCAGTGGAAAGAGCACCACGAAAGCAATGGTCACTGCTTTTCTCGTCTCGTTCTTGGTACAGCCATGGCAGATCCACGAGTACTTCCCGCCCTACTTGCATGGGAAACCGTCTCGTCACAGGAACGTTCACACAGCAAAGACAAGTGGGGTACTGTGCATACCAGTAACAGTACAATTGTGTGCAGAATATTGATAAGTACTACCAAGAGTACATGTACTCTTGGTACTACTCCTTGAATCAGCGAATGCCTGATTTCTATCCTACTTTTTTTGAATGCATGCACCACATGACGTGCACAACCATTGTCGATGATTACTTTTTTCACAAAACGAAAATTATGGGGTGGGATGGGAGGGCCACGGGCTTGTTGTTGTTGTTCTTTTTTTTTGAATTTGCAATACCAAACGGGCAATATAATACCGCAGCTCCCATTCATACGAGTACAAGTACTCCATTAGACTCCGAATGAACCCCCGGTATGCTGTGACCCGGCCCGGTGGGTCCAGGACATGACACGCCTTCCGGAAGAAACCAATTCGGCTGTGTGGCACGCACTGCTGAGTTCCTCGAAGATGCTCCGAGTATGTAATTGTTAGATGGGCATCAAACGTCACTCCAAGGAGCTTCAGCCGCGAGCATTCCGGGACCGCTGTGCCGTTGAACTTGATGGGTGGTGTCTCCCAAGGTCTGCGGTGGCGAGACACAGTCATGGCCCGTGATTTCGTTGGCTCAAAAGTGACGCGCCACTGAGCCCCCCATTCAGCAAGTGCATCCACACCACTGCGGCTTGGAGGTTGCGGCACACTTCTGTCACAGCATGTGGCGTTGGGATGTAGGCATAAAGCGTGGTGTCATCTGCCGGAGTTGTTGTTGTTGTTGTTGTAGAAGTTTATTTAACGTCGCACCACAAACAGGCGATTTCGCCTCCTTTGATACATGTGGACGACAGAAGGAATGAGAGAGAGGGGGGGGGGGACAGAAGTATGGAGAGAGGAGGGTAGAAATAAATAAGCAATCAACCTCAGGGCTACACCAAAGCAAAAACGGAATGGGAACATACTAGATACAAAATAGCTTCATACATATATTGCAAAACACGTTTACTATTCTTCAGTCCGCTATACCGGAGTGATCCCTTCCGGTAGGATGTCGCAGGTGTCATTCACGTACAGCAAAAACCATGAAAACAGTGTGGGCCCAAGGATGCTCCCTTGTGGGACCCCAGCATCAATCTTGTCTGAAGATGCTCCGCCGACTACTGCCTGCAACTTACTTCCTGTCATACAGGTAGTCAGACAGCCAGTTCAGTGTGATCAGGGGACCAGTGATGCCGTATGACGCAGCCTTGTGGAGCACGCCTCGGTGTGAAACTTTGTCGAATGCTCCCGCCGCTGCTATGTCTACAGCCAGCACGCGGACTGCGCCACCACGGTTGACTTCGGAGACCCAGGAGTGGTTGAGAGACGTGAGAAGGTCAGATGTGCTGAGCCCCTGCCGGAATCCGTACTGGTGGATGGACAGAGCCTTTCATGCTCAAGATGACTGATTATGGCAGTGTTGACAATCTTCTCCATGACTTTGGAGACAACAGATAACAAGGACACAGGTCGGTAGTTCTTAACAGCAGAATGAGATTGCCGAAGTTCTTGTGTATCGGGACCACACGGGCTACTTTCCAGAGAGAGGGCTGGACATGGCACCGAAAACAGAGTGAGAACAGCTTGGCAAGTGGTGCAGCCAAAACTTTTGAGCACTGCTTCAGAACTCTGGCAGGGATGCCATCGGATTCGGTCGCCTTGGTTGGATCCAGCTGGCGGAGCTGGCGCTGGACTGTCGCTTCCCGAAATCGGACAGTTGTCAGGGAAGATGATTGTACACCTAGGAGGAAGGTCAGGAAGGTCGGAGTGCTGTAGATCTTGATCACCCAGACTGCATTTGCTCGCAAAGAATTCTCCAAAGCAAGTAGCCTTTTCCTGGTTGGTGACATATTCTCTGCCCTGGGCATTGCGTAGGACAGGGATAGACGAGCTGCGGCCAGAGCCTGCAGCTTGCTTCAGGAGTGACCACCATTGCTTGTTTTGCAGTGATCCATGTTTGAGCCGATCTCGGATGCGGGCTGATTCTGCCTGCTTTGCGAGACGAAGGCAATTGGCAGAGGCTCGGACTTTGGCATTGTAGTCAATGAGTTGCTGGTGGCAGGTGGGGTGTCTCCTGAGACGGTTCCATGCATTCTTCTTTGCCTGGGTAGCGGCTGAGCATTCCGGCGTCCACCAGGATGGGTCTGTTGGTTTCGTCGAAAGTTCTTTGTGTGGGATGAAGCGATTCATGCCTTCCATGACAACAGCGGTTACTGATCTGCAGGACGCCTCGGGGTCTTCTGATATATCTCAGTTTGCTGTTGAGTAGAAGTGCCGCGCCCCCGTCTGCCTGAGCATACCTCCAAACGCGCTGTTTAGTCGGTGGTTCGCGGAGTGGGGTGGCATCAAAAGTGGCCACAACGGTGGCATAGTCTGATGCTCCAATGGGGTCCAGTACATTTACCACCACTGAGGTCTCCGAGAAGTCGCTGAGTATGAGGTCCAGGGTGTTCTCACCACTTGTCGGTTGAGTAACGTGCTGGTGGAGCCCGTGGAACGCAGAGAGTTCTTCCATGTATTCACCAGCTGGTGTAGTCTTCGTGCTGCATAGCCAGCTTTCATTATGACCATTTAAATCCCCGGCTGTCACAACGCTGCTCCCGAGGGATTGAGCTTGATCCATGACTGAGTCAAGATACTCAAGCAGAGAGACATCTTGTCCAGGGCACGACCCGGGTCGGTACACTGCACATACAACTACACTTTTTTTTTTGTACATGTAAATGTACTTTCTGGCCAGTTGACACCGATGGAAAGAGTCCAGTCGCTCCTGAGTCCTGAGCTGTCTTGGTAACCGCCCGCGTACCAGAGTTGTACGGCAGTACATTGATAACCAACGCGTATAGCCGATTGGTTTGTAGGTTTGCCTGCCAATCATGAGGTTTAGTTGCGAGTTCAAACCTGTGCTGGTAACAGAGAGTGTGTTTAGTGCTCTCTCAATCGCAGTGATGCAGGCGAGTACCACTTTACATGGAATGAACTGTGCCGACACCCACGGTGAACTGGGTACTCACTTGCTCGGTGTGAGGGTAACAAAGATGCGGTTTATGGGGTTGTAGGGCCTTTACACGCCTGCTTGTTGAGAGACTTATCCCTTCTCCCCTGACTCACTTGTGAGGTCTGCATTCGACACGAAGGTAGTAAGGATATAATCGAACTTATCGAAGTGGTGGGCCGCCGATGCCAATGTATTTGCTTTGATGTGTTCGTCAACACGTCAGGTGATGCGGTCGCCAATCCGGCTAACTTTACTTTACTTTACATTGATGATGAAGGCTTGTAATATTGGTATAGCCGTAGGCGAAGCTTTTCGCTGACCTGCTGGTCTAGTTTCCAGAGGTTCCACAGGCCCCGAAAGGCAGCTGTCGCCAGTTGCTTCCTCCTCAGCACACCCTCGTCATCACCAATCAGACTTCCAAGTTTTCGTGCTGATCTCCATTCTTCTTTGTTGCTATCATGGAGTCTAGTGATTTCTGTGTACTCCGTTTTGTCATGATTAATATTGAGCGACCATTGCACCAGGGTAGAACTCGCCGTAGCTTCTAGCTGAGAGAGCCACCGCCAAATGGTGCTTACAAAATCTGTGTCATCAGCATAGATTAGCTCAAAGGGCAGGAGAAGATCAGCATGGGGTCTGGGAGCTGCTTCCTTTCTCAGTTGCCGTAATGCTGCTTCCAGATAATTATACCGTAAAAAGGACCGGTGACAAGGAGTCACCCTGCGGTGTGCCAAATAGTTGTCTGAAATGTTGGTGATGACGTTTTCCCAAGATGCAGTTCATCCTCGTTCACGACTTCCTTTCGTACACTTAGCAGTTGATTGATTGATTTTATTTTACTTCGCAAGTTCAAACGGGTTCCTGGCCCAGTTATATGAAAGCGAAGGATAGAATTTGCCAAAATCCTAATGAGCAACAGCATAGGCAATATTATCATAGAAGTGGAGTACTATGCGAGCGAGAATACTGAGAAGAAAGGAACATGTCAAAACCTGACGAAACACAACCTATTTCAGGCATACATAAGGAAGGCAGGCTAGCTTAAAATCTTGCAATCTGGATACGGTGCGCACCTCTCTAGGCAAACTGTTCCAATGCTCCTGCGGTGGCGAATCTCGTTTGGCCACACCGACTGCGAGCTGGCTGGCTGAGCAGACCATTGGCATGCTGATGGCGCGTACTTCTGCCGCTGCATGCTGCTGGTTTGAGAAGCTGGGCTAGAGCTAGGCTAGTGGAGTCATTTAGACAACGCCAGATGAAGATCAGGAGCTTTTGTTTGAAAAGTTCAGTGACGCGGTAAATCGAGTTGGCAGCCAGGAGGGGCTGCATCGCGGAACATGGCGGGCTGCCATCAATGCATCGGATCGCCCGGTTTTGCATGGCTTGCAGACGCTGAAGTTGGGTCACGCGGAGGGCTGCAGAGAAGCTGCAGGCACCATATATCATATCCGGCATGACAATAGCCTTTACATATACCTTGCGCGAGCTGCGGGAGAGGCATCGACGGGCTCGCCACAAGGCGCCTATCTTCCTCGCAACTTTGGTCACTATGGCACTGACGTGTACATCCCAACTCAGGCGGTTGTCAAGAAAGACACCAAGATACCGCGCAGACTTCACTATCGGTAGAGAGGTATCGCAGCACACGATAGAGACCTCAGGCCCGGCATGTTGCGGTGAGATAGTCATTATCTGGCTTTTGGAGGCGTTTAAAATTAGGCCGCGTGACTTAAGCCATATGGCGAGATCAGTGACAGCTGAAGAGACGGATTTGGAGACTTCCCCAGCGGAAGCTTTTGAATCATACAGAGCAATGTCGTCTGCGAATTGCACGCTGGGTATTGGCGATGAGACCGATTTCACATCACGGGTGTAGACGTTAAAGAGAACAGGCCCCAAGACGGAGCCTTGGGGCACACCACAGGTGCAGTCAAGAGCACGACTTGTGGCCGAAGCGACTGTAACTTGCTGCCTGCGATCTGTCAGGTAATTCGCGAACCACTTCAGGGCGACACCAGAGATACCAACGTCAAAAAGGTCTTGGATGAGGATACCATGCCGGACTTTGTC